GAACAGTTTCTATCGAATTCGCCTCTAAAAGACGATCCATCTCATCATACACATCTGATGCATACCTCCGAACAACAGCCATAGTAGAATACAGTAAAGAGAACGGGGAAAAAGTACTCAAAGAGGGTGCGACAGATCATGATGTACTTAAACAAAGTGCTACAAATATATCGATGGATAGCATTATCAAAACGGAAATAATCGGTTCAATGAGAATATAACGAATGGAACAGAGTGCAGTTACGACAGGACACGGAGACCGAAGTGTCACTCCAAGCGTCCGTTCTAAAAAAAGTGGCATTTAAAAGAAACATGGCTGAGCTTGATCAGTTTCGTCCGTTACATAGCCTCCCTCCCCCCATAATGTGTAGTACCGTCGTCATAAGCATAGGAAACGTCACTATATGGCAATTGCCGGGCTGATAGGGGAAATTCGGGGGAGTAGATGAGTAGACGTGCAATGTATGCCTTGATCTTGGCAAAGTGCGTGGTATAGGTAGTAATTCGGGGTGCACGGCATCGCGTAGAAGGAAAGTGGTCGTGGCCTATATGTCGGGTACGAATGATGGTCCGGGTCAGGGATAGTGGAATTTGGTGGTCGTCCCACGAGGCGGGAAGAAGTTTAGATGATATTTTCCTGGTGCTAACAAACATAAATTTCAAATTCCAAATAGATCGTGTTGTAAGACGAGGCCGCTGACCTTGTAGGGGTGCCAGTCATCCATACGTCGTACTGCTCTTCCCTGATGAATGAATGCTACTCCGAGAGTGGTACGTTCATATTTTTGGGCAATGCGAACGATTTTGCAGTGCTTTGACCCGTAGGTGTGGAGGAAGATTCTATCGGATGTTAGTGGTGGGTAACGTTAGTCGGCCGGAAGACGAAAGTAGCATTCAGTGCACAAGCAGTGAGAATTGGACTCTGCGGAAGAGTGAATCGCGCCCCGATAAGCTAAGAGGCAGAGGGATAATTGCACGTCTCAGACGTGTTCGTGGCCATACAATCAAAAAGCGTTGGAAGAGAGTTTACATAGTATGTCTTGTCCTCTTTACCAGACTTTTACCCTGGGGATGGTAAGGGGTTGTGTGGATTTTGCTGACTGTGAGTATCTCACATACGTCGCGTAGAAGCAGGGACTCGAAGTTTGAGATACATTCGGAGTGGAAGGATGGCGGTGCGCCTCAGCGGCTTATCCATATGTGGCCGATAGCGTTCAAGACAGGTGCGCGTCGTGGTTAAGAAGGGGACGGCCTCCACTCATTTCGTGAAGTAGTCAATAATGGTGAGTATATATTCCAATCTGTGTACCGATATCGGCAGCTGTCCGATGATATCCATACCATCACGTTCATTGGGAATGCCGGTGGTCATAGGCTCCGTCGGGGCTCGGGGAATTTCGAAATGCGGAATTTACATTTTTTAGCGCCAGGAAGGCACCGTCTAAGTAAACCTCATATTGAAAAAAAAACTGACAGTGTAAGGAAATAAAATGTAGAAATTTGGAATAAGGTAAACAGAAATGATCCTTTAGGACAACTGTTAACGATGTTTTTTTCAATTAATTTTGAAATAATAAATGGGCAGCGAAAAAAACACTCGTGTGCCGAAGATGGGAGTAGGATTAAAGGGGTCTTCATTTACAAAAAGAGCGTAGGAGAAAAAAGTGCTTAGAAAAATAGAATAAATAGGTACTGTAGGCTAATACTACAGTAGCAGTTCAGAATGAGATAATGAAACATCTATAGAGCTCGCTCCCAATCGCTTATGCGCAAAAAGGCGTCAGTAAACGTGACACCTCGACATTTCGGTAGCCAAAAGGCAACTCTGATTGTGGTTAATAGCCAACGAAATTGAAGCATTTAGACTACGTATGTCCATATGACTTCCATCGCTTGAGTGACTGGTGCTATAAGATGATATCGTGTTTCCTGGAGGCAGAGAAAACAGTCTCAAGAAGTAATGGTGCTAAAAATTCGATTCCCGGGTGGTAGATCAGAAGAAAAAGGAGCTTTCACCGAGAGAAGTTTATTACAAGCCTGACGTTTCGGGTAGTGGAT